AGAGTCCACTAGAAAATAACTAACACACATTTGTATAAACACTCTCATACCAAAGTAGGTCAAATCTACTAACGACACAAGTCTTGTAACATGAATCTCATTTCAGTGACATTAAAATCTATAAATTAAAAGGTCAGACAGGAATGTATGGTCAAGCATATTTGATTATCCAAGACCAAAAAGAAGTTTGAAAGGCTGAGGTAAGACAGCCCCACAATCCAAAACACGGGTGTAACATCAGAACTCATCTCACCCAAAAGATGTGAAAAAGCAGAGTTGGGAGTATTATAAAGGTTGCTATAGACATCGATCATGTTTCCCAAAGCCAGAAGAGGGTTTCCTTTAACATAATTACTAAGACTGTGTCCTGACATATCAGGGTTTTATCCCTGTATTATCTGTACCAGAATCTCTTGGATTGCTTGTTAAAAATGAAGATTCTTGACCTTGAGATTAACTGAATCAGAATCTCTGAAGCAAGGATTGGATATTTTGCATTAAAAATATTTTAATTCTTTTTTTTAAATGGGCAATACATGCAAATAGTACAAAATTTATAAAGTACAATAGGGTGTTGTTTGAAAAATAAGTTTCCTTTCTCCCCTTAACCACCCAGATGTTTGCACTGCAGCCAACCACAGTTACCAGTTCCTGTATTTTCTTTATTTTTAACAAGCTCCTCGATAATTCTATGAACTCAAAAAATCTGAAAACACACAGTGTGGTGGTTAAGAGCATGGACTCTGGCAGCAAACAATCTGTCTATTAGCCTTAGTACCTTAGGCAACTTACTAGCTGTAGAACTTTAAAGAGTAAATATATTCATCCACAAAATGGAGGTAACAGCACATTAGGCTACTATAAGGTATGAGTGAGGTAACATATAACGCACATGAAGTACTTAGCAGAGTGTACTCTGGACATAGCATATAATGAACACTAGGTAATATTAACTTATTGAAATTATTCCCCAAAATCCAAAAGGAGGGAGGAAATGCAACAGATTAATCAAAGGCAAAATAAAAATCAAGACCTTAGGAAGAAGGGCCTAGAAGAATGTGTTCAGACAAAAAATCTACGTGAGGCTCAAGCAGAATTGGCAAGGTTCATTTAGAGTTGGTGTGTATACATGTGCGTGTATGAGCACATGTGTGTTGGCACCCCAGTAGTAATTATAAAATAAATACTAGATACGTTGTAAATATTATTTCTTAAGCTACACAGTAAGTCTATGAGGTAGGTATTATTATTTTCACTTTACAAAAGGAGAAACCAAAGCTTAAAGATGACTAACTGGCCCCTGAGTTGTGTGGCTAATTAAGAGGTAAACTGAGATTCAAACCGAGGTGTGTCAGATCCCAAGCCCAGATTCATTCCACTACTCCCAAAACCCCAAGGAAAAAAACATCTCAAGAGATCATCTGAAAGTCACCAGTGAAAGCTCTATTGTCCCTGTGGATCACGGTGAATAGACACAGCCTCTGATGTCAACCCTCCTCCTTTCTTACACTCTTGTACAGCAGCAATTAATGGGTGAACTCAAGAAACCACCCCCTCCAAAACGTGCAAGCCCAGCCAATGTGTTCTCTAATAGGCCAATAACGATATGGGTCAATCTCCCTTTACTAGCTATGTTGGTGACAGAAACTCACAGAAAAAAGCAGATTTAAATAATTGTAGTTGATTATTTAATAAGTATAAAAATATATTTTAAAAAACTAAGCAAATGTCTATCAGAGAGGTTTTACCAAATTACCATGTAAACTAAAATAAAAAAGTACATTTGGCTTGCCAGGTTTAGAACTATCACAGAGGCAGAACAAAATGACAGAATGGTTTACAGATTATTTTTTCTGGCTTTAAAATAAGTAAAGATTGACATATTCACAGAGCACAGCAAACCTGTGAAACAATGATAAATAATACCGTAACCACATACACAAAGTACCACAAAGATATTCAGATCTTTGGATCCATTAATTCTACTCTGAAGACTTTTTTTAAAGAAATAATATAGGTAAAAAATACATATATGCCCAAAGTGATGCACTGCAGCACAATCTTTCATGGTAGAAAGAGAAAAAGAAATGAAC